ACTTAGACTCCCTACAGAGTGGAAACAGGCCCTTCGGCCCAACAAGTCCACACCAATTCTCACAGCATCCCAACCAAACCCATCCCCCTATAACCCACCTAATCTACACGTCCCTGAATACTACGGGTAATTTAGCATGGCCAATCCACCTAGCCTGCACATCTTTGGACAGTGGGATGAAACCGGAGCACCTGGAGGAAACCCATGCAGACACTGGGAGAACGTGCAAACTCCACACAGACAGTCGGCCGAGTGTGGAATCGAACCCAGGCCCCCGGTGCTGAGGCAGCAGTGCTAACCACTGAGTCACTATTGCTACCCAATATCCTTCTGCTGGGTTTCTGTTTCCCAATGCAACAGGATTCGTGTCCCAAATTCCTTGACAATTCTGCATCTCATTACTTCTAAAAAAGTTAATTCACCTGCTTGCCCTTTTTTCCAACAAGTGACAACAACTTACACGTATCTGGCAAATTTAAAACGGTAAATCATTCCAAGGCACTCCTCAAGAGATTCAAACAAAGTATGATCCCGACAACATAAGAAGCTATTACAGGAGATAATCAAGCTTATTCAAAAGGTTAGTTTTAACGAATGTCTTGTTGAAGAAAGGTGAAGAGGTTTGGGAAGCGAATTACAGAGCTTGTGGCTTTGAAAGGAAAGTTGTTGATGGTGGAGTAATCAAAATCAGCGTCGCACAAGAATCCAGAACTGGAGGAGCACAGATACCACGTTAGGTTGTGGGACTGGAGGCGATTAGAGAGATAAGGAAGGGGCAAGGCCCTGAAGAGATTTGACAACAATCATAGAATATAGAAGAGACTTCTTTGGCCCTGCAAGCCTGATTTTCTAAAAATATACCGCTACCTACAGTCGCCCCACTTCTCCACAATAGGCCTATAGCCTTGAATGTCATGACACTTCAAGTGCTCATTCAAGTACTTTTTAAAAAGTAGTAAGGTTTCCTATCACAGCTATCATTGATATCATGGCTGATCTTAGAATTCTCAATTCAACCTTTTTTCTCCCTCAGTGGTGCATTCAAGAACCCAACCACCTTCTGAACGAAAATATCTTTTCCTCAAATCCCCTCCAAACCTCCTGCCTTTCACTTTGAAATTATGCCCCTTGTTACTGACCTTTAACTAAAGGGAACAGCTGCTTTCCATTCACTGTGTCTATGGGGCTCAATCTTATACATACTTATTCCTCCCCGCCACTCCACCCTCAATCTCTCTGCTTCAAAATCAAACAACCCAGCTGATCCAGCCTCTCTTCATTGCCGATATGCTCCGTCCTGGTGAATCTTCTCCTCTCTCATCTTTCCTATACATTTTAAAATCAAGGCGCCACTTTAAGAAAAGCATATAATAACAGATATAGAGAAGGAGAAATACCTGGAGAAGGGACTATTAAAGAATATAAAAGTTAGCCTGGAAATTAGAAATAAAATTTAAATGGTCAATAGTTTAGTGGGAATAGAATTAAGGGAACAGGAGGTGGTTTTGTGGAGAAGACATGCTCAAGGAGATAGGATAAAAACTAGAGAACGATTCAAGCTAAGGGCCAAGAGTAGAGAAATCTTGGAGGAACATTTTCTAATGAGGTCAGTAAGGAGCATAGGTAGCTGAACAGATGATCCCAAGCAAGCTGGCAGCAGCTCAAATCTGCTCGCCAGTTCCCTTTCCTTTTCCTCCTCTTCTTCTCTCTGCAGTAATTCTATCCAATCCTAAGCCCCCGTCCTTTTAACTACCTACCTAAAGAGTCAGGAAGCAGTTGGGTCACGACCAGGAACTGCATGGTGAGATTTGAACGCGCGAGCCGCGTCCTGCAGTGACGGCAGATTACGTGTGGGCCGGAGAGATGGCGGTATCAGACCGCGGTGAGAGGCGGCAGCAGCCTCCTCCTGGGTGTCCTAGCGATTGGAGCAGCACCTACACCGTTGTAGAGATGGGACTTGGACCTGGACTTTCCTCTTTTTCATGCTTATCTTTTGGTTCTGTTAAACTTTTAATTCTGGTTTTTGTAACCAAGTGGGCACCAGTGAATGGCAACTTTGTGCACTTTTCGTTGTACTTATGTATTCCTATATTTAGTACTTGTGATAAATAAATAAATCTAAATCTTAAAAAAAAAAATGAAGGCCATGACCTCTTCACACTTGCTATTGGGAGGTGCTCAGAGTACAGGATCAGGGAAGCGGGCTTTAATTTGACTGTAGCAGAGATGGTGATGCTGGAGGGAGTGGAGAGTAACCTTTGTATTTCTGTATGATCCTGGAAGTGAGCAGTTATGGAATATCAGAATATTTATATTTTAAATGGTAAATTTCTTACTATGGTGAATAGTTAATTTAGTGGCCTGTTTTATCTGTTTCACTTTGGACTGCATAGCAGGAGGACAACCAGAGTGAGAATAATTAACTTTCATAGTGACCACAGCATGTCATGACAATATAAAACAGTTCATCTTCAAATTTGATCATCAACTAACTTAAAACGTCTTGGGCTTTTATTTCAAAAGAAATCAGTTAAAAATGAGCTGGAACACATCAAGATGGCCTTCAAAGTCACCTGACCTGAAAATAGCCATGTTCAACGGAAATTTAAAAAGCAATGTCCAAAATACACGGCTAGATCTGTCTACCACCATATCCATAAAAGGCTATCCTACCGTAATTGCTTGGACATTAAAAATCATCATTTGGATGGACAGGAGGAATACCACCTTCAAATTTCACTTTGCATAAGACTTCTTGATGACAAGTACTACCAGAACAAAAGACCATTCTCCAAAATACGCTTTGCAGAAAGAATAGCTGGGTCTCTGACAATGACCATCAAAAATCTTAAAAATGAACGATCTTCACAATCAGCCAACAGCTGGTGATCATCCTTCATGAGCAGAAATGATTACAAGCTTGTAGTTTAGCTTCCTCTAGCAACCTCCAGAATCACCAGGAGGAGCTGTCCTTGCAGAATGCAACTCTCACGCTGCAATTTCTCAACATGAGATCCTATCTCTGGCAGAAGTTGGAATATATCAGGAAAAAATAATTCTAAAAATCAAAAATTAATAGCACCCTCCAAATGAAGAGTATTTATTGCAATTTAAAAGACTATTTCCAGAAGAACAACCAGCACAACTCCACTAGAACTTGAAGATCAACATTGGAAAAAATAATTCATTAACACAAGAATTGTATTTTTTTCTCCAACTCCACCACCTTAATCCTGCACACAGACTAAGCTTGCTCGCTTATGCAGGTGTGTTTATGTTGCAGAATTTGGGACCGGCTTTTAGATTTTCAATAAATTTTGTATGTTACTTGAGCAAGTGGGTGTACAATAAACTTTGATCAACTCAAAACAATCTGTCTGGCTTGCCTCTTCATAACTTTAAAGTATATTCAAGCACATACTGAAGTGAGGAAAAGCACAGCTATTTAAAAATTTCAAATCTGTTATACCACCCTTAAGAGTGAAAAGAAAATTTATTCATTCCACCAGACTTGGTTCTAAAAGGCAAAGGTGGAAGTGACTCAGCAGATCAGTAGTTCCAGAAATACTGTAGTACCTTTATAGACAAGGTTTCAGTCACCCTACCAAATTCTACTACAATGCCTAGCCCTTCAACTCCTATCATCAGCCATGTGATAACTTTGCATGCTAAGAAGTGATAGATAAATAAGTCTGTTAACTTAATGTGAAATCACCTTTACTTCCTAGAAATATTGCCCAAGGCATGAAAAATATTTTTCTTGGTCAGTAATGTAGGACTACTGTGCATACGCAACAGCTGGTTTTCACTTTTAAATCATTTAGCTAGAAAATTAGAAATAGTCATTTTCTTGAAACTGTCTGGATACTACTGGACTCTTTTCTCTTTGTAGGTTGTTTTTAAGTTTATCTTTGGTCCCAATTCATTAAATATTTAAAATTATTTGATTCAATTTCCCCACTTTCCATTACTAAAAATGTCATAGTAGCACAACATTCACACATCAATTTTTGACATTCAGTGTTGTTTCAGGAGACCGCATAACAGAAATTTAAACAAAAACTGCAGACAATTCTGTGTACATATCATCATTTCTGCAGTCCCACCCATCAGCAGCTGCAAGAACTGCAGCAATGTAACAGTTCGAGGCTGCCAAGCAAATCACTAATGAGAAATAACTGAATGTACTACAGCAATCTAAGGGAACATGCATTCTTCCAACCTTACAGGAACAGTTACAAAGATCAAGCATGATATTCAATTTGTGCATACCACTACACTTCTGATCTCAGCCACTGCCTCTCTGGCATGATCAGTCAATTGAACAATTTGACACACTACTTGTATTTGGAGACATTTAATTAAGCAGTCAGACCCCTGGAGCATTTATCATGTGAACCAACTGTAGTTTTCATAACTATATTTACAAAGGCTAAACATAGACAAAAATGGCAAATAACTCTAATTAGTAGATGCAAAGAGAGAAGGTCAGATATTTTCCCTCAGTGGGTTACAGCAAATGAGTATTGTGCACCTCCTCTGACATTTAAGATAATCCTATCTCTAGGTGCAATTGATGATCGCGACAATAAAAGTGGAAGAAAGAAAATGAGGAGTGCAATGCCCACGTTTACTCATAACTTGAGTGAAAGCTTATGCTTGGTCTAGCATGACTATTTCAAATCACTTAAAACAGGAATAAAAAATACAGAGTAAAAGAAATTTCAAATTCAAATAAAAGTATAAATTGTGTGACCTCTTCTTGGTCACAGGTCTTTAAAATAGCTAATTCAGTAATCTTTTGACGTTTCAAATTACATTAACATTTGAAATTTAACTTTTTTTTTAAACAGACAAGTGTCCAGGGGAGGTCCAGCATATTTAACTTCTAACTCAGCTACTTTCAGAGTCTAAAACTGCAACAAAAATTAATTATTCCAGATAAATATAACAAGATTTTATTTCTCCAATAAAAATGAAACAGATAAAGCACTACTTACCCTTTGCACTGTAGTTTAACATATTTAATTCCCTCTTTCTCTATTTCAGTCCGGTCATAAAACCTGCTTGTGTTCGTTAAATCAACTAAAATTCCCATATTCACCTAAAACAAACAAAAAAAAGGTTCTCATAAACTAAACTTTTTTTTAAAATAAACACAGGGTTTAATAACAGGGTTACTAACCCCTCTCACAGTCCAACTGTCTCTGTATCCTGAAACATTTCTAAAATAGAATTGTTTGAAATGAAGACCACTGTGCCTTATTATGAGAAAATTGCTGCAACACTTAAAACAGATGCAGAAAATACTTAAAGTAGGAACAATACATGGCTTTGGAGCAAGGGTGGAATTAGTGTTGGATTGCTCCAAAAGAGAACCAACACAAAGTATAATCCAGAAATTTAGAAAATAGTTTAAACAAAAGAATAAAAACAAAAACAAAGTGAGTCAAAAGGTATACACTCAAGAAACCAGAGTGAAAACTGAAATGTTCCACACTGAACCAACTGGATATATTTATTTACTTAGTACAAACAGTACCAGAGGGTGAGAATTGCAGTGCTGATGTCAGAAGTAGGATAGATATTCAGGAGTAATTTTGTAAAGATGAAAGATGTGGTACCAACAAGAAAACTCAAGCTTGGCAACAAGGAAAATAACTTATAAGTTGCTACATTTTATCCTCTCTCCTGTATGCCTCAGAAACCTAGACAATTGAATAACGATCTATCGAAGAAAATAAAGGCCTCTGAAATGTGGACGCTAAGATGGAAGCTTTAAATTCCATGTTCAAACTATTAGACACATGAAATTTGAAATTGCAAGAGCTAAAAAAAACTTCAAAGTGACATTCAGAAAAGAAAATAATCAGCATTTTATCAGAGCTGAAAAGCCACAGAGATCACTTCAAAAGGGCTGCAGACAGCAGGGTCAACCTAGGCGCAGATGAATTACAGATGTCATAGTGATTGTAGACAATATGGTTTGTGCATAAGGAAGGTTCAAGACAGACAAACGTAGCACACCGCAATAGATCTCCTAGTCAGGATAGCTACAATCAAGTCAGTAAGCTACAATTAATTTGGCCTCTAGAGGGCAAACTGAAACATTCAGCATTTTAGCTACCTATAATTAAAGAGACAGAATCAGAAATCACACAACACCAGGTTACAGCCCAACAGCTTTATTTGAAAACACAAGCTTTCGCAGCCTCATTTCTTCTTCAAGACTTAGTGACAGAGATGGAATCAGACGCAGAATTTGACGAGGATGTATTAGACAAACCTAAGATGCTGTTAAATCTTTAATCCGTTAGAAGGTTTTAATTGATTAATATGTATACGCAAGTCCACAAATTTCTTTCAAGTCACTGCTCTGAGAGGACTAAAGATTTTCATTACTGTAAAGAAATGACGACATTTTAGGTCAGACAATGCATGTTAAGCGTGAGGCCATGTCTAGAATTGTTTGCGTTTTGGTTTGGAGTCAGACTGATTTTATTTCTAAAGTAGGAATTTATAAAACACCGCACTGACTGATGGCATCTAAATTGTGTGCTTTTTGAACAAAATAGAGTGGAGTAGGTGGCGACAGAGAGGGTGGCACCCAGCTAGAGAGGAAGGTCGAGCAAAGGGGCAAGCAGAAGAGGGGCTCAGAGCCAGACAGAAACAGCGAGACCAAGAGCGCAGGCATGTGCCACAGAGAGTATGCACGAGTGAGAGAATGAGAGCGAGAGAGCGCGCGAGAACAAACGCTTGCTTTCTCGTGCACACTGTTACCAGCGCACGCTGGATGTCGGTCTCGCTGCGGCTTTCTCTCTCGCTCCCTTGCGCGCTCGCTGTCTCGTTCTCTCGTGCTCACACATGCTCTCACTGCTGTGCTCTTGCGCTGTCGATCTCATTGTGGCTCTCTCCATCTCGCGTTAGTGCGCTCTCGCTCACTGTCACCGCCAGTTTCACTGACTCTCACTGTTGCTCTCTCACTCTTTCTCTTGTGCCTTCATGCCCTCTCTCGTTGCCGCTCTGTTGCTCTCACTGTCGCACTCATTGGCTCTCGCTGCTGCTCTCTTTCTCTCTTGCACCCGCGCTCTCTCGCTCTCGCACGCCTGCGCTCACTCTTGCTGTCGCTCTCACTTGCTCCCACACACTGTCACAGTCTTGCCGTCAGTCTCACTAGCTCTCGCTGTGGCTCTCTCTCTCGCGCCCTTGCGCTCACTGTCTCGTTATCCCATATTCGCACGCACTCTCGCTGCCCTGCTGGTGGCCGTTGTCGCTCTCACTGTGACTCTCTTGCTCGCATGTGCTCTTGCTGTTGCACTCTCTCGTTCGCATTCTCACTGGCTCTCGCTATTGCTTTCTCTCTCTCTCTCACTCCCTCTCGCTGTCACGGTCTTGTACTGGCTTATGCTCTCGCTGTAGCTCTGTCTCTCGTGCCCATGCTCCCTCACGCTCGCTCGTTGCTGCGGTCGCACTCGCTGTCATACTTCACTGGCTCTTAGTGTTGCTCTCTCTCTCGTTCTCGCTGTCATACGAGCTGTTGGTCTTACTGGCTCACGCTCACTCGCTGTCGTTATCGTGCTCTTGCTGCTGCTCTCACGTGAGCGGGCGCAAGAGAATGACAGAGCAAGTGAGTGTGAGCCAGTAATATCGACATCGACAGTGTGAGAGATCATGCAAGAGCACACGAGACCATGCAAGAGCACGCAAGAGTGCGAGTATGAGAAAGCGTGTGAGAGAGCGAGAGCAACAGTGACAGTGCCAGCCAGCGCCCAAGGGCATGAGAGAGAGACAGCAACGAGAGCCAGTGAAACCGACAGCGAAAGCAACAGCCAGCGCACAAGTGAGCAACAGCGAGAGTGAGCCAGTAAGACCGACAGAACTACAGCCAGCATGACAGCGAGAATGCGAGCGTACGCCAGACAGCACGCGAGAGTGAGCACGTGAGAGCACGCAAGAGCGTGACTGCAATAATGAAAGTGAGCAAGCACGAGAGCACACAGGCACGAGAGTGAGCAATAGCAAGAGCCAGTGAGCGCGCCAGCGAGAGTGAGCGACAGCAATGACAACGAGACTGACAGCGAGAGCGCAACAGCCAGCAACAGAGCGTGCGCATGAAACCACGTGCACATAAGAGGGCGAGCATGAGAGAGAGCAAGAGCAGCAGCGAGAGCCAGTGAGACCGACAGCGAGAGCGAGAGCGACAGCTGGCATGAGAAAGTGCGAGCACGAGGGAGCACAACAGCAAGAGCCAGTGCCAGTGAGACCGACAGCAAGAGCGAACGCGAGAGCACAACAGAGCACGAGGGCGCAAGACAGAGACAGCAACAGCGAGGGACAGAGTAGAAACTCAAAAGAAATAAAAGTTACGATTAAAATACAATTTCTAATTTCAGGATTTTGTACAGAATTTTACAACCACTTAAGTATATTAGAAGTACAGTCACCATTGTAATGGAAGGAAATACAACAACCAATTTGCAAACCATAAGGTCCAACAAATAGTATTAAGATAACGATTGAATAATCTTGGGTTTGGGTTCTTAGTTAAATGACATTGAGGGTTCCCCTTCTCCAAGTAGAATCTTTTATGGCCACCTGAAATGACAAGTTACACCTTGATTTAACCCCTTAAAAAAATGATCTCTGACAATGCAGCTCTACTTTAGTGCTGCACAGACTTGTCAGCCTTATATGCTCAAGTCCTGCGAATGGGATTTGAATCCACAACCAGTATGAACATTTTCCTCCTGTGTAGGTAACCAGAAGTGGATATGTGGATATAGTATTGTCTGTACCAGTTAAGCAATACCTCCTCAGACTTGTACTCTCTTTTGGTAATATATCTGAAGATGTTGTTTGCTTCTTTGATTGCTTTACCACTAAGGTTAGACAAAATGATCATCAATTCACCTTACTGATTATTATAGGTCTTTAAGGAAAGACATTATTGTCCCCTCCAATTCAAAAGTTGTGCATTCAAAACTCTTTAGCACCTTGGGCACAATCTCGGTTAAGTGCAGAGCAGTATTGCAGGGTTGCTGTATTATCAGAGAGGTCATAGTTCATGCAAGATATTACGCTCAGGCATTTCTCAGGTGGCATAAATATCCCTTGGTTCTATTCACAGGACAGTAAAAGGAGGTCTTCGCCATGACTTGACCTAACGTAGCTCCCAACAACACAGAATCAGCTAACCTGGTCATTTATCTAATTAGTTGTTTGGTGGACATTGTTGTGCAAAGTCAAGTGTCAATTTTACCTATATTACAATTCATTACCTCGATCCTCAAATGACCTTTACCAATACCCATTCCATCCCAATACAATACAACCAATGAACAGTTTGGAAATTAAGTTTCGGGACCCCAGTTACTAGAAATAAAGCTTTTCTTGCTACTAGGTTCTATGCAGAAAACACTTGTGCTTAGGTCTAATAAATTAGTGTTCTACTTAGTATCTGTAAAACATCAATACTTCTATCGCTATTCTTTTGAAAATAGCTATGAATCCACAGGGCCCGCCAGCATTCACCAATTCCCTCAAGACAAACCACACTTTACAGATTACTGATGGTTAGCCAAAGTGTGGTCTATGTTAAAGTAATGACTCATCATTTCTTTGTTCAAAAAAATTTACTCATTAGCTATTCAAATTAATTTACGAGCCTGCCTCACCAGCATAACACTCAGCATTCTATAATAACATATTCAAGGCATACCTCTAGTTACTTACCTTCAAACTCTTCAGATAATTTGAAAGCATACTGGGATGGAATCGATTCTCTTCAGGAACTTGATCATCATACCTCGATCCTAACATGGTCTTCAGAGGCAAAAACTTCCCTGTAAAATATTAGAGTAAAGCAAACTGAGTTATCCTGCTAATTACCACGTACCGTCCTCCCTCAGCTGATGAATCAGTACTCCTCCATGTTGAACAATACTTGGAGGAAGCACTGAGGATGGCATGGGCACAAAATGTACTCTGGGTGGGGGATTTCAATGTCCACCACCAAGAGTGTCTCAGCAGCAATACTACAGATCGGGCTGGTTGGCTCCTAAAGGACATAGCTGCTAGACTGGGTCTATGGCAGGTGGTGACGGAACCAGCAAGCGGGATAAACATACTTGACCTCATCTTTACCAATCTGCCAGCTTGTAGTTGCATCTGTCCATGACAGTATCGCTAAGAGTGACCATCGCTCAGGTCCTTATGGAGACGAAGTACCGCCTTCACATGGAGAATAACTTCCATCATGTTGTGTGGCACTATCATTGTGCTCAATGGGACAGACTTTGCACAGATCTAGCAACTCAAGGCTGGGCATCCAAGAGGCGCTGTGGCCCATCAACAACAGCAGAATTTTACTCTAGCACAATCTGTAACCTCAGGACGCAGCATATCCCCCCCTCAACCATTACCATCAAGACCGGGGATCAACCCTGGTTCAATGGAGAGTGCAGGAAGGCATGCCAGGAGCAGCACCAGGCATACCTGAAGATGAGGTATCAACCTGGTGAAGCCACCAAACAGGACTACTTGCACGCCGAACAGCAAAAGCAGCAAGTGAAAGACACAGCTAAGTGATCTCACAACCAACGGATCAGATCAAAGCTCTGCAGTCCTGCCACATCTAGTCGTGAATGGTGGTGGACAATTAAACACCACACTGGAGGAGGAGGCTCCACAAATATCCCCATCCTCAATGATGGAAGAATCATACAATCATAGAATCCCTACAGTGTGGAAACAGGCCCTTCGGCCCAACAAGTCCACACCAAACCTCAGAGCATCCCACCCAGACCCATCCCCCTAATCTACACCTCCCTGAACACTATGGGCAATTTAGCATGGCCAATCCACCTAGAGCCCAGCACATCAATGCAAAAGGGAAGGCTCAAGCATTCGCAGCAATCTTCAGCCAAAAGTGCCAAGTGGATGATCCAGTGGTCCACAGCATTACAGGTACCAGTCTTCAATCAATTTGATTCACTCCACATGATATCAAGAAATTGTTGGAGACATTGAATACTGCAAAGGATACAGGCCCTGACAACATTCCAGCAACAGCACTGAAGACTTGTGCTCCAGAACTTGCCACTCCCCTAGCCAAGCTGTTCCAGTATAGTTACAACATTGGTATCTACCCAGCAATGTAGAAAATTACCCAAGTATGTCCTGGGCACAAAACGCAGGACAAATCCAACCCGGCCTACTACCACCCCATCAGTCTACTCTCAATCATCAGGAAAGTGATGGAAGGTGTCATCAACAGTGCTATCCAGGTAGCACCTGGTCAGAAAATAACGTGCTCAGTGATGCCCAGTTTGGGTTCTGTCAGGGCCACTCAGTTCCTGACCTCATTACAGCTTTGGTTCAAACATGGACACAAGAGCTGAATTCCAGGGGTGAGGTGACAGTGACAACCCTTGACATCAAGGCTGCATTCGAGTGAGTGTGGCATCAAGGAGCCCCAGCAAAACTGGAATCAATGGGTATCAGGGGCAAACTCTGCAGTGGTTGGAGTCATCCTGACAGAGGAAGATGGTTGTGGTTATTGGAGGTCAATCATCTCTGCAGGAGTTCCTCAGGGTAGGGTCTTAGGCCCAACCATCTTCAGCTGCTCTATCAATAACGTTCCCTCTATCTAACATCAGAAGTGGGGATGTTCACTGATGATTGCACATGTTCAACACCATTCGTGACTCCTCAGATACTGAAGCTGTCCATGTTCAAATGCAACAAGATCTGGATAATATCCAGGCTTGGGCTGATAAGTGGCAAGTGACAGTCACATCACACAAATGCCAGGCTATGACCATGACCAATAAGAGACAATCTAACCAGCTCCCCTTGACATTCAACAGTGTTACCATCACTGAATCACACATTATCAACATCCTGGGGTTATCATTGACCAGAAACTCAACTGGACACACCACATAAATAGAGTGGCTACAAGAATAAGTCAGAAGCTGGGAGTACTGCGCCAAGTAACTCACCTCCTGACTCCTCAAAGCCTGTCCACCATCTACAAGGCACAAGTCAGGAGTGTGATGGAATACTCCCCACTTACCTGGATGAGTGCAGCCCCAACAACACAAGAAGCTTGACACCATCCAGGACAAAGCAGCCCGCTTGATTGGCACTACATCCACAAATATCCGCTCCCTCCACCACTGACGCTCAGTAGCAGCAGTATGTACTATCTACAAGATGCACTGCAGAAATTCACCAAAGATCCTCAGACAGCACCTCCCAAACCCACGACCACTTCCATATAGAAGCAGAAAAGGCAGCAGACATACGAGAACACCACCACCTCCAGGTTCCCTTCCAACCTACTCACCATCCTGACTTGGAAATATATCGCTGTTCCTTTCTGGGTCAAAATCCTGGAATTCCCTCCCTAATGGCATTGTGAGTCAACCTACAGCTGATGCAGTAGTTCAAGAAGGCAGCTCACCATCACCTTCTCAAGGGCAACCAGGGATGGGCAAGAAATGCTGGCCAGCCAGCGACACTATCAACCCACAAAAGGAGTAAAGAAAAAAGTGCACAGATAGATTTTGTGGAATCTACATCAGTTTCAGTTTTCTTTTTATTATCTGATTTAATCAGACGAGGCCAAAGGAGGGAGGCCAGGCTTTTGTACATTCGCTCTCCTCTTCCACTGCAGTATTTGTGGTTATGCTTTCATCTATCAGACCCCCAACTGCTGGAATTCTCTCTTAAGCTCTTCCACCTCTTACTCCTCTTTGACCAAGCTAATGGTCATCCTTATAACACTGAAGACACTTTACAAATACACATTATTTCTACCATATTGCAATACCACTAGTCATAGCTTATAGCAGCTTATTAAATGTTCAATTCTGAGAAACAGTGAGGTTTAAGCAAAAAAATTTCCATTGTCATATGTCATTTTTGGGAAGTTCCTCAGACGTGATAAGTCATACAAACGAGGAACAAAATTAGGCCGATCAGCCTGGTTGATGCAATTTTAAACTCAACTCTACATTCTTGCATGTCCCAATGATTACCAAGGAAATGAAAAATTAAGAATCTACCTCTGCTATAAAAATATTTAAATATTTTGCATTAGACTTTTGAGGAAGAGAATTCAAAAGACTTTCAACCCTCAGAAAAAAATAATTTCCTCATCTCTCTTTTAGATGGATGCTGCCTGATTTTTAAACTATGATCCCTTACTCCAAATTCTCCCATAAGAGGGAATATACTTTCAACATTCACCTAATTAAGTCCCCACAGGACATGTTTTAATTAAGTCACCTCTAACTCTTCAAAACTCCAGAAGAATCAGGCCTGGCCTATCTCGCCTTTCCCCGATAAGGCAATCTGCTCATTCCAGATAAACCTCCTCTGACCTGCCTCCACCTTCTGTTAGTCTAGTATACAGTGCTCCAAAAGCAGTCTCACCAATGCCCTATTTAACCAAATAACTTACAAACTCTGACATTCAATTCCACTTGCAATAACCATAACATTCTATTAGCTTTCCCAATTACTTGCTGTGCCCACATACAAACCTTTTACAATTCCTGCACAAAAAAAAACACTACGAATGAACTGAATTGAATTAGATCAAGACTGGTATCTTTGATGATAGGAAACGTCAATAACACTGACCTGAAATATTAACTCTGTTTCTCTCCATAGATGCTGCCTGAATCGTTACTCGAGAATTGTCTGATTTTATTTTAGATTTCCAACATTCACTGTTGCTTTTGCTTGAAGCAGCACAAGTAATATCACAGTGTGTCCTGAAAATTTCCTGACAATAGTTCAAATGTCCCAGTTTACGCTTTTGCCCACTTTGTCAAAGAATAACTGGGCCTCAGGGCAACACTCTAATAAAGAGAGACATAGAACAAAACCTCAAAAACCATCCAGGAAAATGTGCACTCTCTCACCAAACATGGAATAGTCAGAATCTGAGGAACAGGTCATCCAGAAGAAAATGGGGAGTTTGCGAGTGAGTGAGCATATACAATAGGGAAAGGTGAGGGTTGGGGGGAAAAGAAGGAAAAAAGAAAATGAAAATGGAAAGCATGCTTATAATTGTGGCTTTTTGTACATTGGTGTGTGTCAGTTGTTTATTTTTTAAATGTTGTTGCAAACTTCAGCCTATAATCTCATGCCAATTTGAGTAGTAATGGAACATTGTTTGTTGAAAATATTGTTGAATTCTTCGATGTGAATCTAAATATCAATACAAAATACATAAAATAATGTTACTTTGCAACCACATATCCTAATAAAGGAGAGAGCCAGAATGAGAAAGGGGCCCCTGAAAACCAAAAAGTAGCCTTGCAGAAAATCTTAAGAGGAGCCAGAGAGCCATAGAAGAATTACGGCATAGAAGAGACCATTCAGCCCATCGGTGTCTGCATCAAATGAATAAACTGGCCACCCATTCTAATCCCACTTGCTAGTAAGTGATCTAGTGCCTTGCAGGTTACAGTGCTTCTTCCTCAAAAGTCTAATGCAGAATATTTAAAATATTTTTAATAGCAGAGGTAGATTCTTAATTTTTCATTTCCTTGGTAATCAATGTCGAGTTGAGGTTAAAATTGCATCAACCAGGCTGATTAGCCTAATTTTGTTCCTTGTGCAGATCCAGATTCCTTTTAAATAAGTCGAGGGTTTCTATCTCAACCACCAAACTGAGCATCAAACTCCAGGGAGCCAGCCTCTGAAAAGGTTTTTCCTCATACCCCCTCTAATCTTTCTACCAATCGTCTTAAATCAGGTTGTAGACATGCTTGTACAGCCTGTGGGTTTGGTTGCAAACGTTTCATCACCCTGCTAGATGACATGG